TTTCTTGTTGTGATATTATTCTTTAAAAGGTAAAGCAGGAGAGTTTTTAAAGGATGTTGTGCTCTGGCAGTCAGTGATTCTCACGGTCCAGAGGTCACTGAGGAACAGAGGGAGACTACTACTAAAACAAAATGACCCTAGTGCTTAACTAGTGTAATAGAGCTGCGGTGGCGCAATGGATTAAACCCTTGTGCCGGCTGGACTGCTGACCTGAAGCCTCCTAGCAGAATGGTAACACATCTGGGTGTCCCCTGGGCAACATCTTTCACACCAGAAGCAACTTGCAGTATGTTCCCAAGTTGCGCAATTGGTTAAACCCTTGTGCTGGCTGGACTGCTGACCTGAAGATTGGGTTGTTGACCTGAAGGTTGCTGGTTCCAAATCCATGAGATGGAGTGAGCTCCCATCTGTCAGCTCTAGTTTTTGGGGACATGAGAGAAGCCTCCCAGCAGAATGGTAATGCAGCCAGACATCCCCAGGCAACGTCTCTGCAGATGGCCAATTCTCTGATACCAAAAGTGACTTGCAGTATGTTCTCAAGTTGTGCAATGGGTTAAATCCTTGTGCTGGTTGGAGTGCTGACCTGAAGATTGGGTTGCTGACCTGAAAGTTTCTGGTTCCAAATCCGTGAGATTGAGTGAGCTCCCGTCTGTCAGCTCTAGATTGCAGGGACATGAGAGAAACCTCCTAGCAGGATGGTAACACATCCAGGAGTCTCCTCGGCTATGTCTCTATAGACGGCCAATTCTCTCATACCAGAAGTGACTTGCAGTATGTTCTCAAGTTGTGCAATGGGTTAAATCCTTGTGCTGGTTGGAGTGCTGATCTGAAGATTGGGTTGCTGACCTGAAAGTTGCTGGTTCCAAATCCATGGGATGGAGTGAGCTCCTGTCTGTCAGCTCTAGCTTGCGGGGACATGAGAGAAACTTCCTAGCAGGATGGTAACACATCCGGGAGTCTCCTCGGCAACGTCTCTGTAGATGGCCAATTCTTTCACACCAGAAGCGACCTGAAGTATGTTCTCAAGTTGTGCAATGGTTAAACCCTTGTGCCAGCTGGACTGCTGACCTGAAGATTGGGTTGCTGACCTGAAAGTTTCTGGTTCCAAATCTGTGAGATTGAGTGAGCTCCCGTCTGTCAGCTCTAGCTTGCGGGGACATTAGAGAAACCTCCTAGTAGGATGGTAACACATCCGGGAGTCTCCTTGGCCAATTCTCTCACACCAGAAGCGACTTGCAGTATGTTCTCAAGTTTTTTCTGACATGATAAAAAAACTAGTGTAATGTTGCTAAAGCACTTTGCCAATTGCTCCCGAATAGTAACAACAAAAGGGACTCAATGGAAATTGGTGTAAAACATTTCACGGTATGAGAATGGATGTGACTTTTCAGAGTCTTTGAATAAGAGGGGTCCTAAGGTAAAGGTAAAAGTTTCCTGACATTAAGTCTAGTCGTGTCTGAATCTGGTGCTTATCTCCATTTCTAAATCAAAGAGCCAGCATTGTCCATAGACGCCTCCAAGGTCATGCAGTCATAGAGATGGTTCACAGAAATATAGGAAACTGACTTAGGTAAAAGTAAAGGTTTTCCCTGACATTAAATATAGTTGCGTCTGACTCAAGGGGGTGGTGCTCATCTCCATTTCTAAACCAAAGAGCTGGCATTGTCCACAGACGCCTCCAAGGTCATGTGGTCATAAAGATGGTTCACAGAAATATAGGAAATTGACTTAGGTAAAAGTAAAGGTTTCCCCTGACATTAAGTATAGTTGTGTCCGACTCAGGGGGGTGGTGCTCATCTCCATTTCTAAATCAAAGAGCCAGCATTGTCCATAGAGACCTCCAAGGTCATGTAGCTGGCATGACTGCAGGGAACGCCATTACCTTTCTGGAGAAGCAGTACCTATTGATCTACTCACATTTGCATATTTTCTTTAAAAAATATAATATAATAAATATTTATGGTTTGAAGGCTCAAAAAAAGGAAGAAAAATTGGTAATCACTTTGTAAGATTGGCTATTCTAAAAATTTGGCAAAAATATAAAAAAAAACTATGTGGAAAAACACACCTATGGATATCTCCATTAGAAGCGACACAGAGGAGGGTACTAGGATGGTAATAATTGGCCAAGATATAAAGAATTGATAAGAAAGGAAGGAGGAATGATAATATTAAAAACACAATAGGAAATGAATACAGTAAACAAAACAAAAAATCATGGTACCAACCCAGACAAATAAAAGAATGTTTTCAGAAAGTCAAAGAAATGTGCTTCCAAGAACAAAATACATGCTGGGGGAAAATCGAAATCAGAATATAAGATAATAATGAAAATATATAGGAAACTATGAGAATGGAACCTAGAAAGAACAAAAGAGAAAAATATATATGAAAAGATGGAAGGAAAATATTGGAAGAACAATATTTTCTGTTCAACATCTTTATTAATGACTTAGATGAAGGGCTAGAAGGCAGGATCATCAAGTTTGCAGACGACACCAAATTGGGAGGGATAGCCAATACTCCAGAGGACAGGAGCAGGATTCAAAACGATCTTGACAGATTAGAGAGATGGGCCAACACTAACAAAATGAAGTTCAACAGTGACAAATGCAAGATACTCCACTTTGGCAGGAAAAACGAAATGCAAAGATACAGAATGGGGGATGCCTGGCGCGAGAGCAGTACGTGTGAAAAAGATCTTGGAGTCCTCGTGGACAACAAGTTAAACATGAGCCAACAATGTGATGTGGCGGCAAAAAAAGCCAATGGGATTTTGGCCTGCATCAATAGGAGCATAGTGTCTAGATCCAGGGAAGTAATGCTACCCCTCTATTCCGCTTTGGTTAGACCACACCTGGAATATTGTGTCCAATTCTGGGCACCACAATTCAAGAGAGATATTGACAAGCTGGAATGTGTCCAGAGGAGGGCGACTAAAATGATCAAGGGTCTGGAGAACAAGCCCTATGAGGAGCGGCTTAAGGAGCTGGGCATGTTTAGCCTGAAGAAGAGAAGGATGAGAGGAAATATGATAGCCATGTATAAATATGTGAGAGGAAGCCACAGGGAGGAGGGAGCAAGCTTGTTTTCTGCTTCCTTGGAGACTAGGATGCGAAACAATGGCTTCAAACTACAAGAAGGAGATTCCATCTGAACATGAGGAAGAACTTCCTGGCTGTGAGAGCCGTTCAGCAGTGGAACTCTCTGCCCGGAGTGTGGTGGAGGCTCCTTCTTTGGAAGCTTTTAAACAGAGGCTGGATGGCCATCTGTCAGGGGTGATTTGAATGCAATATTCCTGCTTCTTGGCAGGGGGGTGGTTGGACTGGATGGCCCATGAGGTCTCTTCCAACTCTTTGATTCTTTGATTCTATGATTCTATATGCGACAGAATTAAAGGAAAATTGGATCAAGACGTCACATCGGCGGTACATGACCCCACAGAAATTAGGGCAGTGCTACAGAAACATAAATACGAAGTGTTGGAAGTGTGGGAAGGTAGGGGGATCATATTTCCACATGTGGTGGTCATGCGAGAAATCAAAAATATATTGGGGGAAAAAGCTCAACTGCTAGGTTGACAGGAGCTGGGCTAAGAGCAAGAGCAGATTTGAACCACCAACCTTTGGGACAGCAAGTTCAGCAGCTCAGCAGTTTAACTGCCAGGCTGAACGTGCATTGGCACTGGTATCCTGTCCTCTTGGGGTTACTGTTGCCACTGTTTTTCCAGCCAGAAACAGGGACTGGGTGGTGATGTCACAATGGGGACAGTTCCACCTTGTCTCCTGCATATGTCATCATTAGGGGACCCCTCCCCCCAGCACCAAAAGTCACTCTGGCCAGAGTGAACAGAGAGGGGGCCAGGGGAAAATTCCACCTTGTCTCCTGTGTTATGCTAATAATGTAATATAATATAATATAATATAATATAATATATTGTATATACATTATAATATTTATAATATTATAATGTAATCGAATATAATACGAATAGTAATAATATATTATAACTATATATTTATATTACATGTAATATTACTAATAATATCACAATATAATGGTATAGCACAATATAGGAATATTTAATACTGATATTGGACTATGCTAATAAAAGGTAAAGGTAGTCCCCTGACATTAAGTCCAGTCATGTCTGACTCTGGGGTGTAGTGCTCATTTCCATTTCTAAGCCGAAGACCCAGCGTTGTCCGTAGACACCTCCAAGGTCATGTGGCCGGCATGACTGCATGGAGCACCGTTACCTTCCCGCCGAAGCGGTACCTATTGATCTACTCACATTTGCATGTTTTCGAACTGCTAGGTCGGCAGAAGCTAGGGCTGACAGCGGAAGCTCACGCCGCTCCCCGGAATTGAACCTGCGACCTTTCGATCAACAAGCTCAGCAGCTCAGTGCTTTAACCCCCTGTAATAACAATATATATATATATATATATATATATATATATATATATATCTTGTAAGCCGCTTTGGGGTGAGAAAGGTGGCATATAAATGTCGACCAACCTTTTGGTCAGCAAGTTCAGCAGCTCAGCAGTTTAACCCACTGCGCTACCAGGGGTGTCCTATACCATATACATTTTTCAAATGAGCCTGTTTCCTGCAGATGGACTTACAGCTGTACATTCATGGGAAGATTCCCGACTCTTAGAGATGTTGAATGTCAGACTTACAAATTCCCAGAGCAAGCCACCTCTATCCCATTTTGCCAGGATTATGTGTGCTGCGGCAGCGCAAGTGATTTCGTGTCGAGTGGATGAGCTGTGTAATTTTATCTCAAATCCGCAAGGAATACCCCGCGTGTGCCTTAAGCCTCCCTGCATCCTCTTTCCCGACCATTGTGAAGAGGTTTTGCGCTTACGATCCCAGATAAGCGAAGCACTCCATAAACACAAACAGTGAGCACCCTTCAAGACAGGCGCCTCTGTAATGGAAAATAATCCCAAGGGGTTAATCTCTCAGACACACTTGTTGACTTCTCTCACCATAAGATGCTGAAAAAGCCAGGAGCGCATGATATTCGTAGCGTGTTTCGGCAGGACTCCCCGTTTGTTCTTTGACTTTTTATCTTCACTGTCAAGAAGAGAGGTCAGATCCAGGTTAACCTACAGGGCAGGGACAGAGAGAGAGAAAAAAAAGAAAGAGAGAAGCTTAAACAACAATGCAGGTAAATGAAAAAAGAAAAGATAAATGGGTTGCTATGGTGACTGAGTTCACAACGTCAGTCCAATTTCATGGCGGCTCCATGAAGTTATCGCAGCAAGTATTGTGTGTGCATTTCGGAGGTAAGAGCAAACCTAACTTATGAGCAACTGCGATGTTTACTTAGATTGGAAAAAAACCCACAGATCAATACCGCCTTCTCTTGTGCCTAAGAGAAAGTAAAAACAACTCATTCCAAAAGAGGCAAGGGGACATCATAGATTGGCACAAGCAAAGTGTAGATCAAGGGTATCAAACTCATTTTCACTGCGGGCCACATCAGGCCTATGGTTGCCCCAAAATCATGGTTATGAACAATAAAGGATAAAGGTGCACCTACTCACAAAGGCTGAGCTCCAGGTTTATTGTTTAGGCTTGTTTGATCAAGGAAAAAATGGTTCAAAACTAGTTTCGGATGTAGGGGGTGCTGATCAGTCGATTCGAAATTGATTTCCGATTTTTCTGAAAATTTTTCAGAATTTTCTGAAATATCCGAAATTTCTGAGATAAAAGAGGAGCAGGTTATTTGCGAAGGAGAGCTCATAAAATGGGGTTGTAGAACCAAGCTTTCACACAAAGGGGGGGGGGGGAGTGTACTCCAGTGTCAAAAACGTTGAGGGGAGCAATAGTGTAAGGTTGTGTGACTTCTTACCAAAGGCGCAGCGGAAAAGCCAGGTTTTAAGGTTCTTTTTAAAGGTTTCTAAGGTAGGGGCTTTCCTAATCTCTCTAGCCAATGAGTTCCAGAGTTGGGGGTCCACAGAGGAGAAGGCTCTCTCCCTTGTACCCACAAGACGAGGCTGTGAAACTGGCAGGGGTGAAAGGAGGACCTCCCCTGAAGATTGAAGGGCCCGGGCTGGTTCATGGTGGGAGATACGGTCACAAAGGTAAGCGGATCCCAAACCATTTAGAACTATCTCTTGACCCTTCTTCTACCTGCTTCTCTTTTATCTCGCCTGAGTTTGTAATTAGTTTTTCTTTGAATCATTACATGTAGCCCACCCATTGTCATTGTCTTTGTGCCTGCTGTAATTTTATATTGTTATGTATTCATATGTTTTATGTAATTATGATGTTGTTGTTTATTGTTCGCGTTTTCGGTTTGCGCTTTCGGTTTTACTCTGTTGTAATTTGTTGTTTGGGCTTGGCCTCATGTAAGCCACTCTGAGTCCCCATTGGGGAGATGGTGGTGGGGTATAAATAAAGATTATCATTATCATTATCATTATTATAGGACCAAGGCAGAGACATCTCCAGCTCATCCCCTGTTTGGGTATCAGCCAGCACGTCAACGACTTAAATCAAGAAATAGTTTTCTTAGATCTACAGAGACACTTGCTGGAACACCTCAGCAAGCGAGAGTCCAAAAGTGGCAGGCCCAAACCCAGCACCTCAATCCATGGGTGATACCAGATGAGAGACTCCCCCCTGGGCACACAGAAGACTGGGCGACTTGGAAGGTGCTGAACAGACTGTGCTCTGGCACCACGAGATGCAGAGCTAATCTTAAGAAATGGGGCTACAGGGTGGAATCCACGGCATGCAAGAGCGGAGAAAAACAAACCACTGACCATCTGCTGCAATGCAACCTGAGCCCTGCCACATGCACAATGGAGGACCTTCTTGCGGCAACACCAGAGGCACTCCAAGTGGCCAGATACTGGTCAAAGGACATTTAAGCAACTTCCAAGTTTGCAAAATCTGTGTTTTTTTTAATCTGTGTGTTTGTTTTGTTCTGTTAGAAATGTAATACAATGGTATGGTTGCTGATGACACAATAAATAAATTATCATTATTATTATTACCCCAACTATCACTGTCCAGTTGTTGCCAATTTATTTATTTATTTGTCGTGTCAGAGCAGCCAATCCATTATGTTACATTTCTAACAGAACAAAGCAAACAAACAGAAAAAATACACAACTTGTGAGTTTGGTAGTTGGTTAAATGTCCTTTGACCAGTATCTGGCCACTTGGAGTGCTTCCGGTGTTGCTGCAAGAAGGTCCTCCATTGTGCATGTGGCAGGGCTCAGGTTGCATTGCAGCAGGTGGTCAGTGGTTTGCTCTTCTCCACACTCGCATGTCGAGGATTCCACTTTGTAGCCTCATTTCTGAAGGTTGGCTCTGCATCTCGTGGTGCCAGAGCGCAGTCTGTTCAGCGCCTTCCAAGTCGCCCAGTCTTCTGTGTGCCCAGGAGGGAGTCTCTCATTTGGTATCAGCCATTGGTTGAGGTGCTGGGTTTGAGCCTGCCACTTTTGGACTCTCGCTTGCTGAGGTGTTCCAGCGAGTGTCTCTGTAGATCTTAGAAAACTATGTCTAGATTTAAGTCGTTGCCAATGCCACCCTGCAACTCCAGGAAAGGTGCTTCTCTGCCACTCACTTAATGCAAACCAACTTCTGTTCCCTTTGATTTCAGTCGAAGTTGCATTCTAATAAATAGCCTCAAAACACCCTTCAGCCTGCTAATCGGTTTTAAAAATATGCAATTCTCAGTAGGATTATTCGCAAGACAGCAAAGAAACATCTTCTTGTTGTCTTGAAAAAAGAGCAGCAGATAAAAAGAAAAGAAGATTCAAAGGTCTTGGGAAGCCAAAAGAGAGAAGTTTTAATGAGGTTGCAGGAAACTGGAATCTCAACATCAAGGTTTTTTTTAACACACACACACACTTTTTAAGGTCCTTCATAAAAACATTTCTCCTGCATGAATTAAACATCAGGATGGCAGCCCTGTGTCAGGTATAAATGATTCCCCCAGGTGCTGCTTGGGATGTATTGCAAGGCCTAGGCTGAATAAATTACCCAGGCAATACAGAAATAACATTAGGAGTGCTTGTTCAGGGCTCCGCCAGAGCCCAAATATTCCCAGCATACTTGTATTCAACAGATCTGATCAATTTCACTCTAAGATCTGAGCTGCCAACAGTTTTTACACCTTAAAAAGAATGGAGATTCAGGTTTGGGATTTTAACTCCTCATCCCTGCTCTGAAGACTGTAAGGAATCAGGGACAGGACAATTCTGGCAGTGACTTTTTCAATATTTTTTTAAAAATTCAATTGAAATCCATTAAAAAAATTCAAAGAGAGGGCCAAGAAGAACACAGAAACGGATAGGGTGCAATGACATTCCCACAAGTGCTGACTCAGTAGGAAATGCCAGCACATCAATGCATGCTCTTCTTTTTTTAAAAAGCCCTTAGTGTGTGTAGCAAGCACTATATGATTTGCTTCTCATTAATATCAAACAGGACGGGGGAGAATAACTGGGACACATTTTCAAGAAGTAGGCAAGGGTTTTCACATGCACAATGCAGGCGGAGAAACTAGCAGTGGAGACGATTCCTTGCTCCAAGTTTGTTGTTCATTCATTCAGTTGTTTCCGACTCTTCGTGACCTCATGGACCAGCCCATGCCAGAGCTCCCTGTCGACTGTCACCACCCCCAGCTCCTTCAAGGTCAAGCCAGTCACTTCAAGGATCCCATCCATCCACGATCTCTCCGATCATCTGGAGAGGCCCTACTCGTGCTCCCACCTGCATCGCAAGCGCGTTTGGTGGGGACGAGAGAGAGGGCCTTCTCAGTGGTGGCCCCTCGACTCTGGAACTCACTCCCTAAGGACATCAGACATGTCCCATCTTTGGCAGTCTTCAGGAGGAGCTTGAAAACATGGTTGTTCCAGTGTGCCTTCCCAGAATAATGAACCCTTAGCATTATGTCCTCCAAAAGCACTTTATATCAATTTAGGTCTGCTTGTATGTCTCCAACAACGCCCCACCTCCTTTATCTTTGGGAAGATGTGAACACAACGATGGACAGGGTATAGGGATTTTATCTTTGAAAATCCCCACCGCTATTACCAATTGCGAGGAGGTGCTTGTGTGTTGCTGAGGTTGGCAACAGCAGGCCCTAATAATGGGGGTATTTTACCTCAGGCACTTTTTAATCTCACCGCTGCCACCAATTGTACAGATGTGGATGTTATGGAGGGAATTTACCTCAGGCCTCAATTGTGTAGAAGAATATATTATGGAGGAGGCCAATTATTATTTGTAACTTAAGGTAACTGCCACCAACGTGAGGTATTTGAGGTACCACCGATGAGATCTGGCTCTACAGACGCAGATTTGTTGAGATGAGGCGGTTTTCAACAAAAGATAACAAGTTTATTGTGTACAAAGCTTATGGTTGCAGGCTGTTAAATAACTTATGGAACTTTGAATATCATGTGGTTTATAATACAGTCCACTCTTCCAGATAACACAGCTTGTGGCTAACTTTCACTGAGGTGAAGCTCTCTAGTGAACAATGTTTCACTACTATAAATAGCCTTTCAATTTGATCTTCCCTCGATCAAATCTCTGATCTCTAGTCCTTCCTTAACTAGGGATCTTAACTAGGCTTCCTTTAGACTTCTTTGACTAAAGAATCTGGCCAGGTTTCTTCCTTCAGCCCTCCTAGACTGAAAAACACCAGCCGCTCACACACAAGCCTCTCTCTCTCCGGTCTTTCCCAACCTCTCTCTGCTGTTTTTTTAAAAACACACATAACTTTTCCTGCTTGGCTCCGCCCACTTCTCCCTCTCATGAGCTAGCCATGGTAGGTAAAGGTAAAGGTAGTCCCCTGACATTAAGTCCAGTCATGTCTGACTCTGGGGTGTGGTGCTCATCTCCATTTCTAAGCCGAAGAGCCAGCGTTGTCCGTAGACACCTCCAAGGTCATGTGGCCGGCATGACTGCATGGAGTGCCGTTACCTTCCCGTCGGAGCAGTACCTATTGATCTACTCACATTTGCATGTTTTCGAACTGCTAGGTTGGCAGAAGCTAGGGCTGACAGCAGAAGCTCACGCCGCTCCCCGGAATCGAACCTGCGACCTTTCGATCAACAAGCTCAGCAGTTCAGTGCTTTAACCCACTGTGCCACTGCGCTACCGGGAGATGGTAGTGGGGTATAAATAAAGTATTATTATTATTATTATTATTATTATTATTATTATTATTATTATCTTGCCCTTGGTCGGCCCCTCTTCCTTTTTCCTTCCATTTCCCCCAGCATCATTGTCTTCTCTAATTGCTACAAGTAGATCTCAATTATTGTAACAAATATGGTAATACTGCTATGGCTACTTTGTCACTGGTTTGCACACTCATTGGAGCATCACCTCTGAGTGGATCTATATCAGTGGTTCTCAGACTTATGCCGCAACCCCTTAATACAGATTTTTATATTGTGGTGACCCCCAACCATAACATTATTTTTGTTGCTACTTCAAAACTGTAATTTTGCTGCTGCTATAAATTGTAATGTAAATATCTGATATGCAGGATGTATTTTCATTCACTGGACCACATTTCGCACAAATACTGATATGCCCAAATTTGAATACTGGTGAGCTTGGGGGAGGGGGGAGATAATGATTTTGTCATTTGGGAGTTGTAGTTGCTGGGATTTATAGTTCACCTACAATCAAAGAGCTTTCTGAACTCCACCAACAATGGAATTGAACCAAACTTGGCACACAGAACTCCCATGACTAACAGAAAATACTGGAAGGGTTTGATGGGCATTGACCTTGAGTTTTGGAGTTGTAGTTCACTTACATCCAGAGAGCACTGTGGACTCAAACAATGATAGATCTGGAGCAAACTAGGCATGAATACCCAATATGCCCAAATGTGAACATTGCTGGACCTTGGGTAAAACAAACCTTGTCTCCAGGGCAAAATGGACCTTGACACCACACTCCAGGGCAGAGAGTTCCACTGCTAAACAGCTCTCAGAGTTAGGAAGTTCTTCCTAAGGTTCAGATGGAATCTCTTTTTCTATCGTTTGAAGCTCTTGTTCCATGTCCTATCTCCAGGGCAGCAGAAAACCAGCTTCTTCCCTCCTCCCTATGACTTGCCTATTGATACACGGGGGAGGGGAGGGGGATCCTAAACAACACTGTAGCAGAAGAACATATATGACAGATCCCAGATGCCTCAATTCCAATCCAGTCTTGTCTGTAGATTTTTTTTTTCTTGATAGAAGGGGAAAAATCCACAAGTGCATCTTGCATTCCAAGATAGTTATGTCTACATATATTTCTCCAAAGATCATGCCATGCTGATCAATAGCCTTGTTTTGGAACTGGTCTTTCGTATCTTGCTGAATTTACCATATTCCTCCCTTTGAGATCTTTCCAGGTTGGGAACCTCATATTTATTTATTTACTTATTTATTTCAAATATTTGTACCCCACCCTTCTCAACCCCCGGAGGGGGACTCAGCAGCTTACAGACGGCAACAATCAGAGGCCCTCCATATACAAACAAATAAATCAGCAGTTACATAATAAGTAAAACATTAAATTAAATTAAAATCCATTTAAAATAGTACTAAATTGGTTGGCCATATCTAAATCCGAGTTCTACGACCAACGACTTCATCTGAAGCCTGTCCATAGTCTATTTTCCATAGCATTGTCATCCTTTTTATTATCAGCCTGCTTCCCAAATGCCTGGTCACACAACCACATTTTCATCTTTTTCCTAAAGGAAAGGAAGGAAGCAGTTGACCTAATTTTGCTGGGGAGTGTGTTCCACAGGCAGGGGGGCCACCACTGAAAAGGCCCTGCCTCTCGTCCCCGCCAAGCGCATTTGTGATGGTGGCAGAACTCTCATTCTGAACACGTAAAAATAAACCAGACCCATGACGACCCCCTTCCTGCCTTACCTGTGTGTTCTGGATCTGAATGGCCCCTTGTGGGATTGTTTGGGTGACCACTTGGCCCTGAGACGTTACCATAGTTACAGGCTGGTAAAGGGCTCCGCCTGGCAAAAAGATAAGATTTTACAACAGAATTTTAGGGAGATGGTTGAACACTATGGACAGCAATCAATCACATAATAGTAAACATATTTCATTGAGTCTCCGGTCTTCATACTGAATATCAACTTGTCACAACCCCATGAATTTCAATGCAACACAAAACTTTATTACATTCACTGACTAGCACAAAGCCATGAATTTGATAGAGTTTTGCTAAGCGGAGAATAATCAGAAGTGGTATTGCCAGTTCCTTCCTCTGAAATACTGGGACTGTGGCGCAGTTGGCTGGGAATCGTCTGCATTAAGATCACTACTGACTAGAAGGTCATGAGTTCGAAGCGAGCCCAGGTCAGAGTGAGCATTCAACCAATTTGTGTTGCTTGCTGTCGACTTTTGCCACCTGAAAGACAGTTGCATCTGTCAAGTAGGAAATTTAGGTACCGTTTATGCAGGGAGGCTAATTTAAGACACCATAAAAATCTCCAGCAAGCATGCAAAGAATGAGGAAGTACTTCATCAGTGTCACAGATGGTCAAGTGAAGGGACAGCTCCCCTGGTGGCCAGAATACCATCAAGAAAATCTGGAATGTTAAACTGCCTCTGTGTCTGTCTATATACGTCGTGTGTCTATGGCATTCAATATTTGCCATGTATATGTACATTGTAATCTGCCCTGAGTCCCCTGCGGGGTGAGAAGGGTGGAATATAAATACTGTAAGTAAATAAATAAAGTCCATGGCAACCAGGATTTTTTGACCCTCCCTCATCCAAGAGCTAGAATATTGCAGTTATAACATTGAGCTACACATCTGGAGACAAGGGTTCAAATCCTCATTCAGACATGGAAACTTAGTGGGAGACTTTAGACGAGTCACATTCCTCAGATGAAGGCAAACTCTCTCTGAACAAATCTAAGTAAACTCCAAGATAGGTTCAGCTTTGGGTTGCCATCATTTGGAAATGGCTTGAAGGCACACAACAACTCCTCTCTTAATAATAGCCAGGGATGACACTGTTTAGTTTCCAAGTTCAGTGAGGATCTAATGCCCATAGGTCCCGAGAAACACATATCGGAAGAAAACTACTACATTCTCATCTGTGGCTATATGATCTCATATGCAACCCAATAGTCTTACAAATAAGGGCCAGCCGGAAAATGCTGGAGTTATATCACACTCTTGTCTTTTAACTTCAGTGTGTTTAGATCAGTGGTGCCCAACCTGTGGGTCGTGGTCCACTGGTGGGCTGCGAGACCTAAAATAAGTTCTGCGGCTCTAGATTATTAAATACAGTTTTCTGTGGGTGAGCAGATGGTGAAAGAAAGCCATTACCAGACAGTTTCATGGGTCTCATGTACTGATTTTTGGGTTTTTTTAACATCAGCCCCCTTCCTTCCTTTTTCTTTTTTACAGGAGCGTTAACAAAAGCCACAGCCCAACCTTCTTGGTGTCTCATTTTTAGGCCTGTTCCTGGGGCTATTTGGGGTGCTGATTCATAAAATTGCATTGGATAGACCACATCAGCTCTAGATTACACTGTTCTACAAATTTTCAGTTTTTCTCAGTTGCGGAAACGAAATGTGCCGTTTCTTAATAAATTTAACATGCTGAATTCAAATATAATAATTAAATGTGTTAATTGGCTCTGGTTTTTATGCAACAGCTATTTCAATTTTCTCCACAATAGGTAATTCGTTAATATTATGATAATGCGCCTAACCTTACTGCATGTATATAAACCGTGAATATTTACTAAATTTTAGTCAAATTATATTGCCAATAGTTTATACATGAGAAATATTTATTTAATTAGTCTATTGTTTATGTTTGTGCAGCAAGAAACTATATTAGTAGGCCTAATGCAGTTGAAAAGTCTGAAAGTTTAAATTTGCTTTAATTGTGACTTTAGTTTATATCCTGTTTGCTTCTCTTGACTTTTCTTTTGTATTCAAGGAAAGGATTGTCTCTTACAATGCTCCAGCAGGAGTCTGACAGCATTGACGGAGTCCATTTGCCTTGATATCTTTTTTCCATAGTGCTTTATTGACACACGTGCGAGGCATAACTACAGTAAAAAGAACAATGTAAAACGATGTTTAACGATACTGTCTCAGTCTTCAACTGACTGACCCTCACCGTTCAAAAGTCTGGCCTTATATAGGGCTTTCTGGCTTTTGCACACGGCACTAATACTGCGTCATCAAACTTTCTAGAATATTCTAGAATCTTCCATAGTGTAAGTCGCAACATGCATTTTTTCAACCATACGTGATCACGTGATTGCTTATATCATAAAAACTAGAGCCAATATACATTTTTAAATGTCATTTTCGTTTTCAGCACCCCAAAATCATAAAAGAACAACTATTTTCAGGCCCGCAACTTTTTCTCCGTTGAACAGTGTTATTAAATATGGTTTTCTGTGGGCAAGCAGAGGGTGACTACTGGATGGCATGTGTTCTGTATCAGAAACTAGAGCTGATGTAGTCTATCCAATGCAGTTTTCTGAATCAGCACCCCAAATAACCAAACCAAATCTAAAGTTTACCAAAAAACGATTTGTAACTCTTTTGGTACTAATGTTGCAGAGTGGTCCCTGGTCCAAGTGGTCCCTGTTCCAAGGGGTCCCTGGTCAAAAAAAGGTTGGGAATCACTGGCGCAGCTGGCTGGGAGTCAGCTGCATTAAGATCACTATTGACCGAAAGGTCATGAGTTCGAAGCCAGCCCAGATTGGAGTGAGCTTCCGACCAAAATTGTGTAGCTTGTTGTTGACCTTTGCAGCCCGAAACACAGCTGCATCTGTCAAGTAGGAAATTTAGGCACCACTTATGTGGGGAGGCTAATTTAACTGATTTACGAGGCCATAAAAATCTCCAGCAAGCATGCAAAGAATGAGGAAGTACTTCATCAGTGTCACAAACGGATGGTGAAGGGACAGCTCCCCTGGTGGCCAGAAGCTGGAATGTTAAATAGCCTCTGAGTGTCTGTCTATATATATTGTATGTCTATGGCATTGAATGTTTGCCATATATATGTACATTGTAATCCGCCCTGAGTTCCCTTTGGGGTGAGAAGGGCGGAATATAAATATTGTAAATAAAAAAATTAATAGATAAATAAATAAATATATAAGCGATATCCTTCTACCTCCAACAAAAACCTTTCTGCCCATGCCCGATACACACGGACAAACACAACAGACTCTGTTTTATTCTTGGTTGACAGCATATTTAGAAATTGTTCATAAATGAAAAGCAATATATCAATTCAGTGCTACATAAGGCTTTGGCACTGCTAAACAAATGGACGATTCCCATCTGATGGAAAACTCATTTATTAAAAGATGGTTGATAGCACATTTGGTGCCACAAATGTTAGCCCTGTTTCTGGGTATATTCAACCTGATGATTCCAAAAATGGCACGTTTTCCCTTATCAGCTCTAGTTTGTGAGATACAGTTGCAATCTGTTCATCCATAGAAAATCATGATAGCCATATCTAAGAAACTAGAGCTGACGTGGTCTATCAAATGCAATTTTCTGAATCATCACCTCAAATAACCCTAGGAACAGGCCTAAAAACCAAGACAACGAGAATTTTGGTTTTTTGGGATGTACAGTTATTTCTTATAAGAGCAATAACTGTTTCAGGTGTTCAGATCACACACATGAGAACTAAAAGTGTGGCAACTGTAGGCTCACACTAATCTAGGGCAGTGGTTCTCAACCTTCTAAATGCCGTGACCCCTTAATACAGTTCCTCATGTTGTAGTGACCACCCACCATAACATTATTTTTGTTGCTACTTCATAACTGTCATTTTGCTACTGTTATGAATCGTAATGTAAATATCTGATATGCAGGATATATTTTCACTCACTGGACCAAATACCTGATAAGCTCTAATTTGAATACTGGTAGGGTTGGAGGGGCATTGATCTTATCACTGGGGAGTGGTAGTTGCTCGGATTTACAGTCCACCTACAATGAAAGAGCATTCTGAACTCCACCAATGATGGAATTGAACCAAATGTGGCACACAGAACTCCCAACAGAAAATACTAGAAGGGTTTGGTGGGCATTGACGTTGAGTTTGGGAGTTGTAGTTCACCTACATCCAGAGAGCACTGTGGACTCAAACAAAGATGAATCTGGACCAAACTTGGCACAATGGAATTGAACCAAATTTGGCATACAGAACTCCCATGACCAACAGAAAATACTGGAAGGGTTTGCTGAGCATTGACCTTGAGTTTGGGAGTTGTAGTTCATTTACATCCAGAGAGCACTGTGGACTCAATGATGGATCTGGACCAAACTTGGCATAGATACTCAATATGCTCAAATGCGAACACTGATGGAGTTTGTATAAAACAGACCTTGACATTTGGGAGTTGTAGTTGATGGGATTTATAGTTCACCTACAATCAAAGAGCACTCTGAACTCCACCAACGATGGAATTGAATCAAACTTGGCACACAGAACTCCCATGACCAACAGAAAATACTGGAAAGGGTTTGGTGGGCATTGACCTTGAGTTTGGGAGCTGTAGTTCACCTACATCCAGAGAGCACTGTGGACTCAAACAATGATGGATCTGGACCAAACTTGGCACGAATATTCCATATGCCCAAATATGAACACAGATGGAGTTTGGGGAAAAAAGACCTTGACATATGGGAGTTGTAGAAAGGGTTTGGTAGGCATTGACTTTGAGTTCAGGAGTTGTAGTTCACCTATATTAAGAGAGCCCTGTGGATACAGGGCCCCATGACCAACAGAAAATACTGAGTTTTCTGATGGTCTTTGATGACCCCTCTGACATCCCCCAGGAGTCCTGACCCCCAGGCTGAGAAACACTGATCTATGAACCATCAAGGCTATTAAGATCTTCTGGGGGGGGGGGGCTCCTCTCGGTCCCACCACCCTCACAATCATGGTTGGTGGGGACGAGATACAGGGCCTTCTTGGTGGTGGCTCCCCGGCTTTGGAACTCCCTCCCACTAGAGGTTAGATCTGCCCCCTCCCTCCTGACGTTCAGGAAATCACTAAAAACCTGGCTCTGGAATGTGGCATTTGAGGACTGAACCTAGAACCTTTCCTGTGATGAATTATGATGAACTGTGACTACGAACATGACTATGACTGACTGGATTGACGATTTGGCGTAGGAAACTGTAATGATGTAATGATAATGATGATGTTTTTATTGTACTGTGTTGTGCTATTTTAATACCTGTGGTTCTTTTATATGATTGTATTTTATATGTGCTGTAAACCGACCTGAGTCCCTCGTCGAGGTTGAGAAGGCCGGTACAGAAAACCTCTAAATAAATAAAATAAATAAATAAATAGGGGAAACATGCACAAAGATATATATATATATATATATATATATATATATATATATATATAGTATAGTGTTTGGGGAGGTTATGTTTTCAGACGATGACTCCCAGATTTCCCAAAGGTATCATGGCTTCTGGCCACAGTGTATGAGGAATTATTTCCCAGATCCTCCAAGTTATTGCTCAGCATGAAGGTTTGTAGGGAGTTGAAAGCACATTCGTCAATACATACCTACAAACATTTCTGTAATTAGCAACCATGATAAGATAACAGTCTCAGTTTTCAAGTAGCTGGTAAGTGCATTCAGCTGAATATGCTTATAAACCACAAGTACACCTTCACACTGAACATTTGATTGTCTTTAGGGGCATTCAGCTACGTATTCAGGAGCTTTATGTCTGCATTGGCTCTACCAATTTTAGGAATCATACAATTGGAAGAGACCACAAGGGCCATTCAATCCAATTCTCTGCCATGAAGAAAAACACAATAGATCACCATCCAGTCTCTGGTTAGTAGAAGCACAGAATACTAAACACCTGCACATGGCTAATAATGCTGAAAAGGGTCTGGACAAGTTATAAGTGAGCTGTGGATCTGCAGAAGAAGGAATGAGTCGAGAGACACACGTGTACACACAAATATCAGAGCCAGTTTTCAGTTTTCCATCTTGAATTATGCATTGTTCATCATATCTTGTTATCGAAGGGAGTTAAAAATACCAAGCATGCAGAAGACGCAACTAACATGGTCAATGACGTATGCTCCACGCCGCCCACCTGACACAACTTGTGAGTTGACCGTTGTCATGGAGATATTCCCCTGCTGCAATGCTGAGGCAGGTACCACAATTCCTTGGGGGTTGCTGGATACTGCAGTCATGGAGTTAGGAGAATTCTGCAGCATCTCCTAGAAAGGGGCAGACACAGAAAAAGACCTTGACAGGCTGTCCGTTGCAATATCCTCGTGTTGAGCTACACAGACATAATACACGATCATATAGATCAGAACATATTATTAAAACGTATGATAATAATACATTTTAATCATGAATTATAATTATATCTCACATTTCCTCCAATAATATCAAGGTCATATATTTATCTGTTTAATGTATATTCTAGCTTTTCCGCTCCCTTGGCAGCCACCTCTCCACCAAAGTCAATATCGACACCAAAATACAACACCACCTGAGCTCTGCGAGTGCAGCATTTTTCTGAATGAAGCAGAGATTGTTTGAGGACTGGGACATCGTAGGGATACCAAGGTACTTGTTTATAAAGCTATTGTCCTCCCAACCCTGCTATACGCCTGCGAGACGTGGACTGTCTACAGATGTCACATGGAACTCCTGGAACGATTCCATCAGCGCTGCTTCTGGAAAATCCTGCAAATCTCTAGGGAAGACAGGCGGATAAACGTCAGTGTGCTGGAAGAAGCAAAGACCACCAGCACTGAAGCGATGGTCCTCCGCCATCAGTTCCGCAGGACCGGCCACGTTGTCCGGATGCCCGACCACCATCTCCCAAAGCAGTTGCTATACTCCGAACTCAAGAATGGAAAACAGAATGTTGGTGGACAAGAAAAGAGATTTAAAGATGGGCTCAAAGCCAACCTTGAAAACTCTGGCATAGACACTGAGAACTGGGAAGCCCTGGCCCTTGAGCGCTCTAGTTGGAGGTCAGATGTGACTTGCAGTGCTGCAGAATTTGAAGAGGCACGAATGGAGGGCGAAAGAGAGAAATGTGCCAAGCGGAAGGCGCGTCAAGCCAACCCCGACCGAGACTGCCTTCCACCTGGAAACCGATGCGCTCACTGTGGGAGAAGATGCAGATCAAGAATAGGGCTCCACAGTCACCTACGGACCCACCAGAACACTGATCCTGGAAGACTATCGGTCAACGAGGGATCGCCTAAGTAATTCTAGTTTTTCTTCAGCATAGGCCCCATGTTCTACTTCACCCCACAACAACCCTATTGTATTTATTTATTTATTTACAGTACTTCTATTCCGCCCTTCTCACTCCGCAGGGGACTCAGGGCGGATTACAATGTACATATACATGGCAAACATTCAATGCCATAGACACACACACAGACAGAGGCTATTTAACATTCCAGCTTTTCCCATGAGGGGATTCTGGCCACCAGGGGAGCTGTCGCCTCACCGTCCATTTGTGACACTGATGAAGTACTTCCTCATTCTTTGCATGCTTGCTGGAGATTTTTATGGTGTCATAAATTTAGTTAAATTAGCCTGCCTGCTTAAGCGGTACCTAAATTTCCTACTTGACAGATGCAACTGTCTTTCGGGTTGCAAAGGTCGACAACAAGCAACACAAATTGGTCAGAAGCTCACTCCGACCCGGGCTGAACTCATCACCTTTCGGTCAGTAGTGATCTCCCAGTGATGCAGATATCTCCCAGTCAGTTGCACCAGTCGCGGTGCTATGCCATTGTAATCTTGCTACGGGCTTGACTTTGTGGGAAATTATGAGTCTCTTGCTTAGAAAATTCTGCTTCCAAAGACTTCTACTCAGTTCCCACAATATGGTATTGGTGACTAAGACTTTAGTCTTGTTTATACATTGTACAAGCCAAAGAAGACCCGGTGCTTTTTGGGCATATTTCAGAAGAAGGGACTGGCAAAACCACCTCTGAGTACTCCTTGACTAAGAAAACTCTCTGAAAAATTCATGGGGGTCACAAAAATTCATACACCGACAAAAGACGATTCCGAGGAGGAAAGGATAAGACTTTGGGAAGATCATTTGAGAAGATCAGTATGGACAGAGCTTGGAAGTACAACAGTATACTATTTTTCTTTCTTCTTCTTTTTTTCTTCCATTATTCTTTTTTCTTTTTCCCCTCTCTCTTCTCTTCTTCCCCTCTTGCTTCTTTCCCCCCACTTCTTTTCTCTCAAATATATTGTTCTCACACTTTCCACGTAAAAGGGGGAAAATTACTTTTCCATTATTATTATTATTATTATTATTATTATTATTATTATTATTTTACTGACACAAAACACAGTATGTCACAGCAAACAAGATCTATATGCTGAATTTAGTAGCAAAAAATCACAAGTTGAACACTTCCCAAGCGTCTTGGACTGTGTGATTTATTTTCGAATGATGTGCGCAGATCCAAGTCGGGTGGCCTTTTGCAGTTGAGAGATCATGATTTTGTCGATGTTTATTGTTTCCAAATGCCGGCTGAGATCTTTTGGCATGGCACCCAGTGTGCCGATGACCACTGGCACCACCTGTACTGGTTTATGCCAGAGCCTTTGCAGTTCTATTATTATTATTATTATTATTATTATTATTATTATTATTATTATTATCATTGTTGTTTTTATTATTACTTTTCAATAAAAATAGTTTTAACCAAAACAAAAATTCATGGGGTCATCCTAAGTCAATGTTTCTCAAATGTCCTAATGCTGCAACCCCTCATGTTGTGGTGATCCCCAAACATAAAATTATTTTTGTTGCTACTTCATAATTGTAATTTTACTACTGTTATGAATTGTAATGTAAATATCTTATCTGCAGGATGTATTTTCATTCGTTGTACCAATTTTGGCACAAATACCCGATACGCCCAAATTTGAATGTTGGTGGGTTTGGGGGGTGATTGATTTTGTCATTTGGGAGTTTTAGTTGCTGGGATTTATAGTTAACCTACAATCAAAGAGCACTCTGAACCCCACCAATGATGGAATTGGGGCAAATATACCATACAGAACTCCCATGCCTTGGAGGGACTCGCTGGCGCACACCAGTGGGCACAGACCTTGTGTTTTGGAGTTGTAGTTCACCTACATCCAGAGAGCACTGTGGACTCAAACGGTGATTGACCTGGACCAAACTTGGCATGAATACTCAATATGCCCAAATGTGAACACTAATGGAGTTTGGAGAAAATAGACCTTGACATTTGGAAATTGCAGTTTCTGGGATTTATAGTTCACCTACAATCCAAGAAAATTCTGAACCCAACCAATGATAGAAATGTGTCAAACTTCTCACACAGAACCCCCAGAGAATCATAGAATCAAAGAGTTGGAAGAGACCTCATGGGCTATCCAGTCCAACCCCCTGCCAAGAAGCAGGAATATTGCATTCAAATCACCCCCGACAGATGGCCATCCAGCCTCTGTTTAAAAGCTTCCAAAGAAGGAGCCCCCACCACACTCCAGGGCAGAGTTCCACTGCTGAACGGCTCTCACAGTCAGGAAGTCCTTCCTCATGTTCAGACGGAATCTCTTGAGAAGTTTGAAACCATTGTTTCGTGTCCTAGTCTTCAGGGAAGCAGAAAACAAGCTTGCTCCCTCCTCCCTGTGACTTCCTCTCACATATTTATACATGGCTATCATATCTCCTCTCAGCCTTCTCTTCTTGCCTAGCTCCTTAAGCCGCTCCTCATAGAGTTTGTTCTCCAGACCCTTGATCATTCTAGTTGCTCTCCTCTGGACACATTCCAGCTTGCCAATATCTCCCTTGAATTGTGGTGCCCAGAATTGGACACAATATTCCAGGTGTGGTCTAACCAAAGCAGAATAGAGGGGTAGCATGACTTCCCTAGATCTAGGCACTATGCTCCTATTGATGCAGGCCAAAATCCCATTGGCTTGAAGGGACTTGCTGGCACAAAACTCCCTCCAGCCTTGCATGCTCTCCCTCTCCCACACATGCGCACCACGCTGCCATGCATCAAGCACGCCTGCTCTACCCTCCCTGCTTGAAGTCCCAGTCCTCCCCTTGGCTGAGAGGCCAGCCAGTCACAGCAAGAAGAGGGCTTTTGGTGGGAGGATTCACTGTCTGTTTCCAAAAAGGAAGAGAAGGATAGGCAGAGAGATCTTCAGCTTTCTCTGCCAAAAGGGTTCCTAAGACCATCAGAAATATATGTTTTCAACTGGCCTTTGGCGACCCCACTGAAACCCCCTTGCGACCCCCAGGTTGAGAAACACTGCCCTAAGTCAACAGGTGACATGAAGGCCGGGGTGACATGATTTGGCCGGGGTGGTCCATGCCTTGGTCACCTCTAGATTGGATTACTGTAATGCGCTCTACGTGGGGCTGCCCTTGAAAATGGCTCGGAAATTCCAACTGGTTCAATGGGCGGCGGCCAGGATGTTAACTGGCGCTCCTTACAGAGAGAGGTCAACCCTCCTGTTTAAGGAGCTCCATTGGCTCCCGTTTACCTACCAAACCCAATTCAATGTGCAGGTGCTTACCTACAAAGCCCTAAACGGTTTGGTACCTGCCTACCTGCGTGACCCCATCTCCGTTTATGAACCCACGCGCTCCCTTCGTTCATCCGGAGAGGCCCTGCTCGCGATCCCACCTGCGTCGCAGGCGCATTTGGTGGGGACGAGGGACAGTGCCTTCTCTGTGGTGGCCCTCCGACTTTGGAACACCCTCCCCAAAGACATTAGACTAGCACCCACGGCAGTCTTTAGGAAGAACTTGAAGACCTGGCTATTCCGATGTGCCTTTCCAGAATAGGATAACCCCAGCACTATGTCCCAGAAGCACTTTATTAGAGTTTAAGACTCTCTGCACATTGCACTTGCCCAGAATTCCAACATACTACCTCTCACACCCAGCACTTTTTAATCTGTACCCATAATTGGCCCGGCCCCTGGTTTTTATTGCGTAATAGTGTAATGTTTTGTTATTGCTTATGTTTTTAATTTGCTTTGTATTGTATTATTATTGTCTGTTGTTGTTGTGTTGAGGCCTTGGCCTTTGTAAGCCGCATCAAGTCCTTCGGGAGATGCTAGCGGGGTACAAATAAAGTTTAATAATAATAATAATTAAAAAGGCACACAGGTATAAAAGTCATCTGCTCTTCTTGGCTGCCATTGGCCTTGAAGGCAAGACACACCTCTTGCCAAGACA